TGCAGAGAAATGTGTCAAGATCTAGATGGGGGCCTTGGCTCAAAGCATTTCGTTTGTTTATTTTTTAATACTTGTGTACTAATGGAAATATCAGCAGAGATGGCTAAAATGGATGACACGGCAAAGAGGTGTATAAACTGAGTAGAAAAGGGGATGAGATTCAGTGCTGAAACAGGAGAGGCGGCCTTAGGGACAGGGACGATATACTAAGCAGAGGATAAGGGTACTGGAACCATGCACATTGAGGAACAGATTTGTTGGCTAGAAAAATGAGACACTTCTCTTCTGATTACAACTATTTCTTAAGGAAAATTTACCAGTTGAGTGTAGGAGGAGAGGTTATTGGTTTGAGCACAGGGAAGGTGTGATATAGTGATTTTAACAAAAGGGAAAATAAACAAATTTACTATGGAAATATATAAAGATTAGGTGTGTTGAGAGTTTGCATAACATTTGTGATCATAAATTTAAAGTGAGGCTGGTCAGTGTGGTATGTTTTTTTCCCCCCAGCCAAGTGCATCTTCCTAGTGAGGCTGTGGAGTAGGTGAAGAGTGTAATTGGTGCACAGGTCAAGTGAGGTTAGGCGTGGGCATTGCTTCTCTGTAGAAGTGCCACACTGTCCGGACCAAAGGAGACCTTTGCTCTTCCCTCTGTCCTCCTTCATATAATTGGTGGAGAGCTGGTGAGTGGCTGTACTGCTGGTTCTGCTGAAAAGCCCCTCTCAGCAAACCCTCTCTTCCCCCACAGCTGCTTGTTCTCTGAAAGGAGAATGAGTGTCAACACTTTTGCTTCTCAGCTGGGGGCCTAGTTGCCAAATTTGAGAAAATAGGAAAGACCCCATTTTGAACTTCACAGCCTCCTGACATCTATCTGCAGAGACCAAACAAGGAGGTGCCCTTAGATTCTGTTTTATGGGATCCCTGCTCTAGGGCCTGGCATTCACTTTACCTGTGAGTTATATCAGAGTCCCCTTTATGTTATCAGCGTCTCCTCCTTTGCTTGAGCGACTTTGAGCTGGTTCTGTGCCTTGCAAATAAGCAGTCCCTGAGAAACGAACAGTTTCCTCATCTGTATGAATGAGTAGTTTTCAAATGGTACTCCATGGAGCCCATGGTGTCACAGGGGCTTGTGAGCAGGACAGAAGAATGACAAAAAGGCACACCTCCTGGTCCCATTAGCCCATTGCAACTCTGACCCCTATTATGTGATGGGCTTTTGTTAGGGATTTCACTTGAAAAATTTCTGTTTAAGAAAGTGAAAATAAAACCTACTCTTCCAGCTCTTGCGGTATATAATCCCACTGTGCATATCCATTAACAATTGATCTTTTATGATTGTACAGCTTCAAATTACAAGACGAAGCTAGGTCTGAAATCATTTCCCAGGTCATGTGCCAAGGCACATGTCTATCATTCCCGCATGGTCGTCAGGACCCATGGAGACTAGATCTTGTCCAGTTAGTCCCTCACTGGTCCAGCCGAGGTGCAGAACGGGTATTGGTTCTAGGAGGATTAGCTGTGGGTTATATATGTCATGTCCTTCCATGACAACTTTGGTACCTGTGTTTCTTTCTCTCCTTTTATTTCTTCAATACTGTCCAGCATCCAAACACGCTGCAGAGGGAGCCTCATTTCAGAGGGGGCTGGCCTCCCCACGTGGGATCAGTGTGCCCAAGTGACCTGATCAGTCTCTTCCAGTTCAATAATTTTACAGCTGCATGAACTAGCAGCTCGTTCTTGGCACAGAATAATGGGCATCCATTAATGATTCTTGGGAAGTCCCATACTCACTAGCAATACATGTGAGGCTCCCCTGACCAGCTGAAGAAGCAGAATCAGCTGAGAAGAAAAAGGTACTGGTCTTTACTCTCAGGTCATGTGTAATGGTCACAAGTCAGTGATTTATTAATTTATTCAGGCATAGGATTATATTCAACAAATAGATCAAATAATTTATTACCTCTCCAAAGGGTCTCTTGAGAACACCTAGAAAAACTGACACAAAGAAACCGGACTTCTAATTAACTGAGTAAAACTGAACATTAAATCGAAACTGGAAAGTTTCTAATATTTTTACTTTGAAGATTGGATTTAGAAAAAGGAGATACTACATCATGTTCATGTTCTTGGAAGAAAATTCTCGAGTTAATGTTACCAATGAAAATTACATATGTTTGTTATTTTATGTTGAATTTTACAGATCCAATGATTAAGAAGCCATCATTTCTTACAGGCTTCCTCAAACATACGGTCTGTGGACTCAAAATCAGATCAGAATCCTAAATTCTTCATTGTCTTAGAACAACATTAAATGAACTCATTCTTAAAATAATAAAAAGATATCATTTTAACAGTTTTTTAAAACCAGATTGTAAGATTCTTATAGAACAAATTATTGAAGAAAACAACCTCCAGGCAAACTGCATCTTGAGTAGTAAAGGAAGCTCTGTTTGGGGAAGGCAGGCATCAGGCTCCTGGCCAGCAGCTTCTCTGGGTGCTAGCTGTCTTTTGTGCTCTGGGGGGACCCTGTGTGACTGACCTCCAGGACTACTTCATTGTATCAGAAATTTTATTTTAAAAAAATCACTGTATCAAAGGAACGAGGAGATATCTTCTTTTCTCTTTCCATTGCCCCAAATGGTATGCCATTTAGTTACATTTGGGTATACTGAAACTAAAAATTCACACTGGCCTTAGCAACTGAGGTTATTGTAAACAGCATACAATGTACAGAACACACAGTTTTTGTTTTGGTTAAAAAAATCTGCCTCTTCTGTTTAACTCCCCATCCTAGATAATGGCATTTTCCTTTACATCATTCAAGCTAACAGAATTCTAGATGTCCCATCCTAAATGATTTCCTCTCTCTCACTCCTCATATTCTATTGTTCATGAATTCTGGGAAATTCTGTCTTCCTCCTATATTTCATTAGCCCTCTGTTAGCCATCCCCTCTGTAACAACCTTTGTTTAGGAACTTATTGTCTGTGTCCTGGGATACTGCACTTGTTTCCTTAGATTTTCTTCCAGCCTTCCAAATTGCCTTCACCCTTTGTGCCCTACCATCAAAGCCACCTCCTGGAGAGTGACACGTAGGTGTTTCTGAACTGCAAATCCGATCATGTTAAGCTCCTGTGTATTGTTTTTTGGTGGCCTCCCCACTCCTTGAAGGACAGAGTCCCAACTTTGATTCATGTCCTGTAATGACCTTGTTGACCTATCTGTTCTATGTCCTTACCCACATACTCTATTCCAGGACTTTAATCCTTCCAACACATCTTATACCATTATTTTACACCTCCATGCTGCTTACTATGCTACCTATCTCCCTATGCTATAGTATAAGACTCCAACTTATACTATAATACTCAATGTAGATAGTTCTTTTGGGATCAACCTTATAACCTTTCTGACTCTGTCCTTTTAAATAGAACTGGTCACCTCCTCCTTAGGGACACCAGTATATCTAGAATCCATTGCTCTGCTAATATTTGTCTTGCCTATGAGACTGTGAGTAGGGACTAGATCATTTCTATCTTGATATATTCTCTGTTTAGTCCTGAGCCCGATATAGAGGAGACATTCTATAAATACTGTTCATTGAGTGAGAAAAGGAAATACAATATGATATTTGTTATATTGGAAATACCAGAATATTTGTTCTTCTTAAGACTTTCATATTCTTCTTCTAAAAAAGTCAGAAAAGATACAAGAGTGAATGTTCTGCTTTGCACAGACTATGAGTACAAATTCAGTCTAGATGTGTTTCTGCTTTACTTCCAAGGCCTTTTTTCCTATCACCGGGAATTCCACCAAAAGCATATGCTGTGTTATTCTATTGTTTATGACCATGGCTAATAGAGAGAGGCCTCCAGCTATTATCCCCGACAGCTTCACTGAAGTGCCACTTCAAGTTGGAACCCTGTTCCCAAGTGAGAGCCTCTGTGATGGCTTGGTGTCAGGGAGGTCGGAACTCACATTCTCCCTGTTGTAGGACATGCTGACACTGCCTTCATATAATGTGGTTAAGCGCAAAAGTACACAACTGCTGACTTCACAGTGTGACATGCCCCATGCTTAGGGAAGTGGTCCCATAGTTATGTCCCTTGCTGAATATGGTTTGCAGTTCTAGAGCCCTAGCTTCTTTTCTTATGGTGAATCATTTCTCAAGGGCACAGTTGCCTGCAGTGTTTCCAGTTGTGATACTCTCAACTTCTTTCTGCTATCTGCAGATATATTTTTGTATGTCTGAATGCCAATAGTGCAGAGAATTTAAATTTACTCCAGAAAGCTCTTTAGTCCTTATGTAATAATGAATAATCCTTTGTAATAAAAACAAAACATAACATAACTGAACTCCACTCAATGAATGTACTCATTGTTTTATTAACATTAGCTGTATTGTCTTTGATCATAATAAATGGCTTACCTGCATAAATGATAAGGCTTGCAGTTAGTTTTGCTAGTTATGAAAAACCTGTAAAACATAGTCACGTTAGTGAGTCCTGATAGCAGATGTATAGTTTGCTCTTCGAGGAACTGGTTCAAAGTTTGCTTTTGCCAATGTATCAACTGAGTTGTACATAACTTAGATGGACATAGTTGAATTTACTTTTTCTCCTGGATGGTCTGAGCTTTTTTTTTTGCCTGATTTGTATCTGATATTATTCTGCTGTTTCACTTGTATAGATACAAGTAAATACAATCTGTGTGTTTTTTGAGATAGGTGTTCCTTGAATAACATCCAGTTACAGGAAAATGAAAGTTCTTTAACAACAAACATAAATACTTGCTATACTATATGTAGATTCAGATAATGTATTTTTTCATGGCTTGTGGTACCCTTTAATGAACTGGTACTTCAAGGCCTTTTATTATTTATAATGCCACACAGACTGACAAATCAGATGTGATTTTTTATTATACTAAAGATTATTTCTTGCTTTGAATCAATTCTGCAAGAAACTACACATATTTCAAGCCCATCACTCACAAAGATAAATTAAGATGCCCAAATGGTCATTTATTAAACAAATACAAATGTGAAATGTTTATGGTAAAATACATTAATATTGAACAATAATGTATGTGAACAGTAATTCTACAATTGGAAAGATAGCTCAGTTTTAATTTTGGTGACATCCTCCCAACCGTGTCTAATCTTCAGTATCTTTTTCCGCAAGCATGGCAGAAACAGTACAGTCTTACATATCAGGACAATAATCGGAAGGAAAACAGCTATCATAAATGTTGGAGGTGTATACCATACAAATTGTTTTATATCTACCCATTTATTCCAGGCAAAAATCAATGCGTGTATTGTGCCCAGTAGAAGAGAAACAATTCCTAGATTGCTCTGCAAAAGAAAAAAAAATTATCTTGGTGAGATTCATTCAATAAGAGCTTATTTCATTTTACCTCATCTGAATGTGTTCTGTTGTTTGGGAATTCTTTCATTTATATGTGATCACTTTCCTATTACATTTCTCAACAATGTTTACTTACACCTGTCCATTCGTTTTACATGTCCGCACTTCACCCCCTTACTTTTGGGTAATGTCTTTGTCTCCCAGCTAACTATGTTGAGAAAATTCACTATCATTCGCCTTTCAGTTTCAGCTAATCAAGAACACTGTCTCACCTTCATCCATATCTTTCTGTTCATCTCTCTTATGAAATTTATTTTATGTGCTTTGTCTCTTGTGCCTTAATTTGCTTTAATTCTCCCTCTCAAGAGACATCTAAAATCAGACACTGTGTCTTACTCATCACAGGATCCCTGCAGAATTGACACAGTGAATTCTGCATTTTAGGTGCAAATATTGGTGGGTTGACTGAAGATTTGTGCAAAAATCAATTTGACATCTGTCATCTTTACCAATTATGAACGCAACTGAAGTGATTAACTTTTATTTTGATACACGAATACTGGAGTGAGCATGGCCTATGCTAAAAAAAATGTAAACATCCTGATAAAATGGAAAAATACCAACAACTATTTCAATTTTCGAATAAAGCATAGGGTTATAGAGATGTGAAGAAAAACTTCAACTTGCATTGGGACACTTGGCACCATCCCGATAAAGTTACTTAAGAATAATAGTTCACCTATGTAATTTATGGCATTCTGACAATAACTGGTCTGGAGAACTTTTGACTTCTATTCACTTTATTGGAAATGGTCATTATCCTGCCAGAATGAATCTAACTCACCACTATTGAGCAGTAAGTACTCTTAAGCCCCAGCAAATACAATCAAATAGCTAAGTTTGTATTTTTCAGATATAAATCTCCAAAGCAATAGTTCTTGGAATGTAAATGAAAAGTTTCTAGGGTATTAATTGAAAAATACATGTGATTGGTGGAACATTAATTTTACCAAATACGTATTTTATACATTGAGCCAGGTGTTGTGCACATAGTGGAATGGCTGGGTGGTCAAGATGCAGTGCTTGAATTTATAATTAAATTTGAAAAGTGGTCTCAGTGGTGTGTGACAGACATATCAGTGTAAGAAGAAAGCTACTGAATGAGGAACAGAGAACTCCAGCAGCTATGAAGCTGAATTTACAAAATCAGCAAATACTACACTTGGAAAATGTGGCCACATTTCTTAGCTGCACTGGAATAATTCAGATGGAGAGACAGTTCCCAGCTTAATCGAGGTCTTGCTAGAGTGTCTGTTAGATTATACGCATGGATGTGTAGCAGGGATAGTGGGGAATGTTTGACTTTGTGGGTGTTTCCAAAGATATCCACCCATGTTTTAAAGCTATGTAATTTAAAAAATCTTGGCTGTGCTTCTAACTGAATTAAATTTAGTCCTTGTATCTTGTCAGACCTGGATCCTCCTGTGAATTTTGGTACATTGATTTTTTGGGGGTGTAATCTACCATTAAGAGATTAGCCTCAGTAAATCTGAGATGTTTTTGAATTCCAAGAATTTTGAGAAACTTCAAGTGACTAAGCTACATAAAATGTAACTTGGAAAAAGAAGCCTTTAAAATTAGATTCTAGAATACCTTTGGTAGAACAAATTCCCTATTTCAAGGAGGGATGCTTTTTATGGGTAGTACTAAGTGTAACTTAAAAGGATGAATAAAATGAGATCACATAATATTTTTACTTTGGGGGAACTAATAAGCCATAGATATTAAATATTTCTAAGATATTACATTTGTAATTATTAGGTGGACAGAAAATTGTCTAACAAGTTTCACTACAGAAGTAGTGTTTTCCTTTGATTAACACCTTTTATTTGTGTCTTTCTTCTACTTGGAGATCGGGGAAAAATGATAGGAGAGCACACTGAAACACATGTAGGCTCTTTGCTGTTGGAGAAACATTTATCATTTTTTATGGGGTAAAGTCAACATGCTTGATGATGTTAAATCCACAAAAAGAAGATGGACTAGTTCTTTTTTTTAATTTACCTGAATATAGTGAAATTCTCTCCACGTCAAAGAGTCGCTCACAGAAGGAATAGATGTCACGGCTAACAGAGCCAGTATTCCAAGTGCCACAATTCCCAGAGACACATAAATTTCCATTCTCCAAACATCATGCTCAATCCAGGCATCTGCTTTATTTTGTTGGACCTACCAGAGGGTGAAAAGAGGAAAGAAGGAATGCAAACACATGTTTCTGGCATACAGACCTCTTTCTACACTCCCTGTCTGCTATGAGGGCCTGCTAACTAGGGAACTCCACAGATTTGTGTCTTCATTTTTGCATTCCTCTAGGAGAAATGACATAGGAGCAATTCATCTCTTTCCCTGAATGCAACATTTATATGATCTGTTTTATAATTCTATGTAATATTTATTTGATGGCTAAAATTGCAATGTGCTTGCATTTGTGGTAAAAATGCAGGAAATAAGAACAATTAGCATTAAAAAATAATCTTGTGAAGGTGGTAGAGATTGAAATGCAGTCCTGTCCATGTGTAAAAATATTTGTTTATGCTGTTAAAGCTGCAGTTTGCTATTTTCAGCTAAAAAAAAAATCCCTCCCTGTGAAGTTATGCAACCAAGCCCTGATGCAGAGTTATAATAGAAAATTTAAAAATGCAGATTACTTTCTCAACATAAGATTTCAACAGAAGGGTAGGATATTGATATTAAAATAAGAAAGAGTTAATTTTTCAGGGGACTTAAACTTTTTAGCTTACTGATATTGTCAATATCATAATCCTACCTGTTGATATGCCCAGTTTAGCACCTTGTATCTGTAGGATCGCCTCATTGGGTAGGATAAGCTATAAATTGCATGTAGTACAGCAAAGAAGAAACTAAGAAGCCCAAATTGTTTTCTTGTTAACATCCACCTATGCAACCAGTGTGGAAATTTCTTGTACTTGGTTCCATTATGAAGCTGTACAAACGCTGCTATCACACCTGGCAAATAAGCCAGGGCCAAGAGGGTGATGGAAACCACTGGCAAGACTTTGTTGATGACCAGGATTGGAATTTTATAAAAATACTGTTGATGGGAAGTTACAAAAGGGTGAATTATGTCCCTCAGAAGAGTGTAAAGAAAAGTCAGAGACGATATGATAGCAGCGATTTTAATGGGCAAGTGCCACTTTGGAAAGAGTTCCTGTTTGTGTTGAAGCTCTGGGGGACAATCAAATTCATCAAAATGGGTTGTTTGATGCAAGTGCAAAGGCATAGGTCTTTTCAGTACGCCGGTCTCTCCTGAGTCATTATTCTACAAAGAAAGAAAATAAACATCTTAAATTAAACAAAATGTGGGATTTTTCCTAAACCAATTACTTGTTGCTTATAGTGAAAAGGACATTCAGAACCTTGCTTTTGGATTCTGGTTAGCTGCTGATGGCATAGTCTATGTAGCACTGATCAAAGGCATACTTAGCTATGCTGGGATTCTCCATTAATTTGTTATTCACTATTCTTCCAGACAAAAGAAATACATGCTTCAGATATCTCCACTGAGGCTCAGACGATTGTGTTTCTATCTTGAAGACATGAAAATGTGGAGTAATGGAACTGGGAGGCTGAAAGTGAAAAACTTAGGAAAAAAATCCAGGAACCTTTAGTAAAAATAACACATAAATTGTTAGCAGGTGTGCTTGTTTTATAATATTCTTATTGGTTACTGGACAAGTCTCTGCAAAGAACTGAAGGGCGAATTCTTCATTAATTTAAGTACAGAGGATCAAGATTAAATATAGTCATTACTATTAGCTATAAATACATAATCTCCATCAAGTAGTCTTGTACTTTGATTTTATATTTCTAAATTATCTAATTTATATAAGTACTAATAGACAAATAGCCTATTGGAAGGTACAAAGACTACATAAATAGTTAAATCCCACAGGCATGATCCATTTCCAGAGAAAGTTATATTTCTATACCCACTTGTATTTCTAGGAAGCCAATAGTTCAAAAGAAGCTTATGTCAACTATTTTGTCATTTCCCCAGGTGACTAACATGCCATCAAATTTGAAAAAACCCTTAAAATAAAAACTTGTATCAGAGTGTTTCATATTGGATTGTTTTGAGTAAATTTACTTTCTCGCTCAATATATTATTCTTCATTTATTTTAGTTCTATATGTAGAACCATTGCATTTTAATGCTTGAAATGATGTTAGTTATTATCTTGTACATTTCCACATTTCATGCAGAGTAACTTTAATTCAGACAGTTCTTTATAATTTTTAGTGTTGAAAAATGACCTCTTGCCATTTGATTTTTTACTTTCAGTAATAAATCACTATTATATCCAATGCTTTTTACAATTACTCCATTCAGAAGGGAATTGAACATGACATAGCATCTGTAATCTCTGCATGTTAAAACAATCTAAGTACAATCAAATGAGATCAATTTTCTTTTTCAGAGTGAAGAATTCTGGAACAAAACAGTTAACATGAAACATGGAAATGATTTTATTTTATGCACACTTATTTTTTAGAGTCTGTTCCTGTAGCAAATTTTTACTATTAAAATAAGCAAGGTAAACAATTTCTGTTAAAACTGCAGTTGAAATCATTTAGAAATTTAAAAAGATTTTGGAACAAAAATTTTCCACCAGTTTTTCAGTCAAAGAATGTAGTAAAAACATTGTCTTGAGGTGGGGCACAGTGGACAAGTGAGATCATTTAGAAAAGTAAAAAGAGTTTGGAACCAAAAATTTCCACCAGTTTTTCAGTCAATATAGTAAAAACAGTCTTGAGGTGGGGCAAAGTGGACAAGTGATTCTTATTCCAAAATTGAATTTATTTGGTTAAACAGTGAATAGTCAACTTGATGATCTCTTGGTGAGTTACCATACTACCTTTAAAAAAAATACATGTTTGCAAAACTACTGTTATACGGGCACTGATGACTCTTTAAAAGAACTGATACCCACAGAATGTCTGAAAGTACTGGAAGGGCCTTAGAGATGATCTGGTCCAACTTTCTCATGTTATAGATAAACCAAGACCCAGGCTTTTCAGTGACTTATTCAAGCTGTCCATGACAGTCAGTCAAGGTACAGTTTCTCCCATATACCACACTGCCTTCCACCCATCACAACATCAGTGACAGGAATTAGTGATGCACGCTGTCAGCAGACCAGGGTGAAAATCACTTTTACAACACTAGGAGATGTAGAACAGCATTTGAATTACATGAATAGATTTTAGTTATTAATTATTATGTTACCAAATAATCATCTTCTTCAAGATTTCTCCCAGGTTTCATTTTCCAAAGTTCTTCTTGGTTTGTGATGTCTTGTCTGCTCTCCATTAAGTCTATAAAATGGTATGGCTTCAGCCACCTATGCAAATGAAAATAGTTATCTTCTTCAAGTCTATGCTATTTATGACACTAATGCTTGATAGGGCAATGGGAAAGAAATTAACTCATAAAAGGACTAGAGTGGCAGATAGGGTACAATTAAAATACAGAGAGTGATTGATTTACACATTTAATCTCACATTATAATCTGTAAGAACTCTCAAACCAGTGCGCCTGCTGCTTTTCTTTGTCCAACTATTGGTGCAATGAATGACCTAGGTGTCTATGTGGACTCAAAGGGTTGGAAGTTGCTTTTTATTTTAGGAGAATTTAACTCTGGGTGCTCATTTAGAAGAAAGCCAACTGCCCTAAAAAATAAGTGGAATTAGGAATGCATTTGTTTTCCAGAGTAACAATGTTATCAATAGAGGCTGGAGTTAGCTGATATAAGGTTACACTTTAGGAAGTTGAGCTCAATAGACTTCCGGGTTGACACCAGAATCTGAAATAATAATTAAATGATTTTATGGGGAAAGGTGTTCTGAGTTTCAGATAATGAACACAACAGACACTCTTGGTAAAGTGAACCCTGAAAGTGGCATAAAAGCTTGAAATGTTGTATTTTTAGAGTGCCCTTTTCCTATGGGAGTGGTTTTTGTTGGTAAGACATGAATTGCTAGTATATTTCCAGTGGGGTTGTTGAGTTGTGTTCAATTATTGACGTGCCCATTCTCCTGGTCAACTCTGGAAATTAGTTCTGTCAAACTTCCTACCTGATAAATGAATCTTTTTCTTATCACCTTCCCAGATCCTCATTCAGGCTTGTTGTAACATTTTTTTAGGGAAGGGGAACATATGTCATAATATTCTTCTATGTTTTTATCAGTTCTAAATTTATTTTCAGAGGAATACATTGCCAATTTGTACTTGATGAAATTCAATGAGAAAAACAGATTCGATATACAATTGGATTGAAAGTGTTTCTGAATCTTATACCACCTGTAATACTTTATTAAGTGGACAGCTGTTTCCAGTAGTTCAAAATACTTAAACATTCTCTACCTTTTAAAGTTTTGATATTCCCAAAGGATAAAAAAGGGCCATCTTTACATAATGCCAACATTTGCCATTGTTGAAGTGCTCTGAGAACATTTTCCATATACCTGATCCTCGAATAACATGGATTTGAATTGCACAGGTCCACTTACACACATTAAAAAAAAATAAATATATTGGAAGATTTTATGGATGTTTATGACAATTTGAAAATACATTTTCTTTTCTCTAGCTTACTTTATTTTAAGACAACAGTATATAATACATTAAACATAAAACATATGTTAATTTACTATTTATGTTATCAGTAAGGTTCTGGTCAACAGCAGGCTGTGACTTAAGTTTTTGGGGAGTAAAAGTCATACATGGGTTTTTGATTGTATGGGGGCTGGGACCCCTAAACCTAGGGTTGTTTAGGGGTCAAATGTATTATCTACTTCAGAATTTCACAATATTTGTGCTGAGGATATCTGTTGTTTCGGTCTGCCCACATTCTCTTTCCACTGCTTCATGATCTAAAACATTTCCTCCTTTTGGGGAAATACCCCTCCTTTCATGGAAGTGGGCATATGAGTCAGTCTTGGCTAATAACAATTCTCTATTCCCTTGATCACACTGATTGGCACACAGCCCTAGTTGAACTAATTAGCATAATTAGTTCAATATATCTGAAAGATCAAGAGATATCTTTAACATTTTGTTAAGCTGGGATGATAGAAGCCTACCATGCTTTCTTTTCCATGTCTTCAATAGAACAGAAGAATGCCAACACACAGAAGCAAGAGCCAGAATTGGGAAAAAATCACAAGAGTCCTGGTTGGCATGTTTTAAGTATTTAGAGTCACTGAGACTAGATTCTGAAGTTTTCAGGTACACAAGCCAATACATTGCCTTTCTTACTTGTTAGTTTGAGTTAGGGGTGTAACATTGGCACCTGAAAGAATTCTGAGTAAAGCAAATGCCAGTCATCAAGGATTTATGAATTCGACTCTATGATAGACACTGAGGAGGAAAAAGAGAAATGAGACTTCATGCCTGTCCTGGAGGAGTTTATAGTCTATTTCCTTTAGCAGTACTCCAAATCACTTGTGATTTAACCAACATTGTAAATAGAGTAATTTGGGGTATAAGTATGTGTCTAGGAATAGAAGTTTTATATACCTTAATCAAACACAAGAAATAATTCACTATATTTAGGTTTTTAACTCTGTGAGTTGCAGGATGGCAAAGATGTTTAACATAGAAATCTATACTCGTTCAACATTAACACATAAACTATTTTGAACACCAATGTCTGGCAGTTGGAATGCAAAGTTAAAGGAGATGTTGCCTCCACTCTCAAAAACTTTCAAGTCTAGGTGAGAAGGCAGGCATTTCAACAGCTAACTTTGTGGTAATGCAATAAATCCTAAAGGAAGAGAGAGATTTACAGACAGATAGTGGCACTGGAAGGGTGAGGTCTCTTCAAGACCTGGTCTGGGGCATTTACCAAGTTGGCAGTGTCTGCTGATTGAGGGCCATTTTGTACAGAATCAGGTGAAAGGCCAAAGTGGCCCTGGAGAGGTATCCACCAATTATCTATATGACAGATGGTCTGTGCTGCTGCACAAATCCAGGAAAAGCCCAGGGCAGTGAGGGAGCTTGTTGTCTGTGTGGCCCACAGTCAGCTTGTACCCAGAAGCCAAGAAAATAAAACATGTTGGTTTCCATCAGACATTAACCAAATATATAATTTAAGTTCTACAGTAAAACCTTTTCATGAAACAAAAAACAAAAACAAAAAACAAATAACAGGAAACAGCACAGTGTTCAGATGTTAGGAGCTCAGAAATTTAGCTCAAAGTTCTCTAACTTTCATTCCCATTAAAAGGCAAGGCATATTTTGGATGTGACTGTTGGGTTTTGCTGTGCTGGGAGGGCTGACCTGATGTTCCTGCTAAATATTGACACAGCCTAACTGACTCATGTTGATGTTGAAGAGTTTAGAGATGAAGAAACTCAGTGTCTGGGGATGATGCACTGTGGGTCGCGTTGCATTTCCAAGCCTTCTATACTTTCAAGCGCATACTTGTTTTACCACATTTAACTGTGTGGAGAGATGTCTGTCTTCACTGGGCTGTTTTTCTTTATGCTTTGCTTCCTCGCTGTGCTTAGCATTCAGTGCTAAATCAACGACTTTTTATTAAGTATCAGGATGTTGAGGACATTTTTTTTAACAGAACAGAGAAAGGAATTTGGAAGTGTTTCTAAACTTAATGTCTACAAACCCCTTCCAGTGGATTTGACCCATGACATATATAAAAGTCTTATTCTGGTTGTTTGGAGGGAACTTGAGCCCCAACCCAGAGCGTGAAAGAGAAGAAGGTTTCAAGGAGTTAAAACGAAAACTTTCCTGTTACTAGGAAACCTGAAGACAAGTTGCACGATTTTTAAGAACTATGTACCACATTCACCAACGCGACGCAAACTCGTGGCGATTTTTCCAAGTTGGAAAAGCTGCCATTAGAACCCAACCTAGGGCGAACTAACTAAGCCATCATGTGCCCTGCAGCCCCGGCGAGCGGAGAGGCTTCGCTCTGAGCGCTGGCTCCCAGCCCGAGCGGCCACGGCAGCGACGAGCGCGGCGAGTCGGGCGGGAGCGCAGCGCGCCTGGGGCTGCGCACGGGGCACGTTGAGCCGCGCTCCTCCCGCAGCGCCGCCGCCCCGGTCCCGGGAGGGCTTGCGAGCCCGCGCCCGGCCTCAAGAGGCACCCGGAGATGCGGAGCCAGCGAGCAGGGCCGGCTCAGAGGACTCACCCGCTCCTCGGCGCGACCCGACAGTAGGTAGCGGCGCAGCGGTTGCCAGCCGTGCCGCCCCACGCGGCGCCCCTGCCCCGGAGCAGTGCCGGCAGCTCGCGCGCGGCAGACCCCGCCTCCTGGCCGCTGGGCCCTCCGGCGCCGCCTGGCGGTGCCGGGCGTCCCCCCCGGCTCCCGCCTTGCCCCGGCCGTCCTCGCAGGGCCCGGGACCAACCGAGGATTTCCCGGAGCTGCAACCCGGCCGTTCCTGGTTCTCTTGGGAATAGCCCCGTCCTCGCCCGAGGTCTTCTCACGCCTCGCCTTTCTTTCATCTCCTAAATAAGGACCGTATGTGCGCTTCTTTAGCAGTGGTTCTCAAACCCGAACTGTATCACCTGTAGGGCTATGCAAACAACGCTTTGGGCCCCTCAGAGTTTCCAGTTCAGTAGTTGTGGGATGCGGCCCGAGAGCCTGCATTTCTTTCAGGTTCCCAGGTGATTTTGAAGCGCTCTCATATCACACTTGGAGATGGACTGCTTTAGAGCTTAGCTAGCTCATTTTAAACTTCACAACAACAGTGAAGTGGCCTTGATTTACGTTTGGGGACTCGGAATCTGGATCTCAGAATGACTTGCTCCCCGAAATTGTTCAAATCTTGAACCCTGAACCGCCCAAACCCTGTCCCAGCTGAATAAGCCTTTACACCCTACGTTTACGGTTTGCCTTCCTTCCCTGATGTTAGAGCCAACTTCCCATACCCCAAACCAATCAAGCCCTCCAAACCCAAAGCAAAGTTAGACTGTCACTGCTTTAAAGTTTAGGTTGTTTTAAAAATATGAGGTATGTGGAGAAGGACAGGATGTGAGCAGGGATTTGCTCCTCTGAGTTGGAACCAGCCTCAGGAAAGAGTTTCTGAGATTTGAATTGCAACATCTGAGGATTTGGTGTACAACATCCCCGGAACTAATCTGATTAGAAAAACCAAATGAAAATAAACATTCAGCTGCATTTCCCATGATTGTCGTTTCTTCATAGCTAGGGCACTAGGACTGTTCATGTTTTTGTGTGCATTTTTTTGTAGTCATTGACTTTCCACAGGGTAATATTAAAGCCCTTTGAAGATTTAATTACTATGGACTGACACACTGCAGTAGAAGTGGAATCTTACACGTTTTATTTCTAGTGAAACTAGGAAATAATCAAAAAATGAAGAAGAAAATCAAAAAGCCCTTTCTGTGCTTCTACCATCGACTACAAAGAATTAAGACAAACTGTTAAGTGTGTCTAAGGATGTTGAATTTTTTAAAAGATCACAGGCCTTAACTGGTCAAACAAAGCAATACGCTTTCATCGTTTAAGATTTGGTAGAACAAAGGTCATTCTTTTTTTCATAATCTATTTTGCATATGAAGAGGGCAACGAAGTTATTTTAATAATATCATGTGGCTAATTACAGCAAGCTCCACTTAAAACTGTCTTTCCTTTTCTAATTAAAGCATTTCTAATTTAAAATCAAGACCCAAATATTTTTGTTGTATAATTAGATTAACAACTTTAATAATTTATGCACTTCTTCCAAAAGTTTTTTGTTCAGTATTTCAGTGTGGTGAATATGGTATGTTTCAAAGTAAAATGGTTGACAATGTGAGGTTGTTTACTAATTAGTTTGTAGATATTATAAAGGCAACACAATATTGGATTTAAAAAGGCCATGGTATTGAAAAACTTTTATTGAGTTGTCAGGACTTTTGTTAGAGACAAAATTTCTGTAATTTTTGCATACAAGTGATCTGTGGTTTTGCTATGAGGTGAAGAAAAAAACATATTTTAGAGAAATATAAAACCAAAGCATCTGAAAATATTCTGAGTCAGCCTCTATAATACATACTTTTCAAAACCAGTATGACCTGTGGAAAGCAGTGTTATGCTATCATAAATGTTGAAAAGCAGATTGCTGCTTTTGGTATGACTTGTAAGAGCTAGAGGATTTTAAAATGGGAATTCAACTGTGAGACAAACACATATGGATCATTCAGAATATTTTGTAATAAACTATAGCAAGGTGGCATATTAACTCAACAGTTCTTCATGTTCTTTAGGCTTGGATACTGAGCTAGTGATTTTACACTAACATGTCATGGTGAAAATATAATAATCTGGAATCCATGAGTATTTTTGCCTAACCAATAAGCCATGTAATCTTAGAACCTGATGGGACTGCCATTTAAGAAATAAATGGAATACAATGGTGTGAAATAAACAAAATAGAAATGAGCTATTAAAGATAATAACATTGAGCAATAGACAGTAAACTGAAAGTGTTGGATAAGAACTGCATTCAGTGTTTCTCCTTTGGAAATCAGATTAACTCCTGATGGCACAGTAATTCAAATAACGATCAATATTACTGTCAAGTCTACTTCTTACTGTGTAAGAATGGTCAGACTTATTTTAAGATGATGCAAACATTACCTGAAGTTTATGGAGAAACTTTTTTCAAAATGATTATTTTAGTACAGACATGGTAGAGCTTGACTGGCCTAATTTTCTGACCCTTCTAGCTTCATATGATAAATTCTCTTTGCTAGTTCAAGACCCTCTCATAGAGTAATGCTCAAAGTATGTGGTCAGTTCATCCCGAAGTCTGTCGTGAAGGTTGAGGATAGAGAGAAGGTTTACCTTTGGAATTGGCGGTTTAAAAAATTGTTTCATGTATTTTCCCCCAAACCAAGCCTTTATTGCTTATTTATCAACATGGTTACCAGTCAACATCTGTTCTGAATGGGTTTTAAGAATAGGTGGTTTATATCAAGGCTTGCAGATCCATCTCTGCCCAAATACTGCTTAATGGTGCTCAAAATTCCATGATGAAACATATTGTATTATAATCCATCAAAAGGCTAATGTCCCTGGAAATGATACCACATTAAGCCTTACCAGTTATTTATGTCTTATTATGAATGAGTATTTTAGTACTTTTTATGCACTAAATATGTTCTAGTACAGGGAGTGAAATACCAGATATTGAAGACTTACACTGGGAGGTTGTGCAGGGGTTGTACTTTACAAAAAAGAAGCACTGAGATTACGAGGACAGATTTCATAGTATAATATCATAATAGTAAATATTTCATAATGTTTTATAATATTGCTTAAACTAGGCACTTTCTCCTTTCCCCACATATACATACCAGACGTGGTATTACAGTGAAGGAAACTTTTGTTTAAACCACACGATCTTGTTCTTCTTTGTTACAGTAGCTTAGCTCATACTCTAGCTTGTTTGATACTTCATTATAGCACTTGTCAGAGTCTGCCTGTATTGGAAATTTTTATATGTGTTTCTCTTACCCCCATTAAATTTTGAACTTGAAGAGAGTGGAGACCTTGCCATTTTTATTGTATCCCTTGTAACTTAGACATTGATGGAACAGACTCATAAATGTGGAATGTGATTTTAACCCTGGGTTTCAGTAAACTTGTGTAGGACACATAAATTTGGAGCCATTGAATGTCTAGATGTCATTTAGACCCAAACTATGGGCATGTATCAATTTGTTATTTGTTTTATAGGGAACACACTTTTACCCACCTTCCCTAGTCTGTATCCTTGTTTTCTGCTTTGCAGACATTGGAGTCCAGCGTTGCCATTGTCACAGGAATGAGAGGCTTTAGATGTCTTGGGTGGTAGGGGATAGGAAGCCAGAGAGTGTTGAATGGGGAGGGCTCATTCAATAGATAGTCCAAGAAGGCTGATCAGTAGAGTTGGGCCTCAGACTTTTTGTAACAGACTCTGCTTCATAATGTCTTTGGCATAAAGAACTATACCTACCAATTCCTAGATCTGAGCTCCAGTAGAAAAGATGAAAGGAAGAAGTCATTTATGAAATGTCTACTCTTTCCAGGATTATGTTTAATTCTCTCAATATCCCCACTATATTATTATCCTCCATTTATAGGTGAACTGAAGCTGAGAATGTTTAATTAAATGGATTAGAGTTGTACAGTTTTTAGAGGTCAACCAAAGTCTGTTTGAAACCAGTTTTCTTTTCATTGTGCTACACTGCCTGTATGATCACACATAATCAGCCAAAATATCCCAAGGCTACACCAGACTGGGAGGATTCAAGAGAGTAACAGTTAACAGAAACCATCCTATAATCAATGCAGTTTTCCCTTGGTATCAGTTAGGATATCAGCTAAAGTACTCTAACAAAGAGGACCAAAATAGAGTGTTTAAAAAGATAGTTTCACTCTCACATACTAGTCTTGAAGTGAATATTCTACGTTGCTGGGGTCATTCTACTCCATGAAGTCATTCAGGGACTCCAGCTCTTTCCATCTTGTTGCTCATGCTGTCTAAATCATGAATTTAGTAAAGGAAAGGTAAGCAGGTTAACACAATTTATTTCCTAATAAGAATCGAAGCTGAAGTTGCATGATCACGTCCTCTCACATTTTATTGGTGATAATTTACTCATATGGCAAGGCAGGCAAAGAAATGTAGTCTCCAGCTGGTGGCCGGCATTTGAAGTCTGTTACTATAGAAGAAGAGAGAGCAAATTTTGGTGAACAATTAGGAGTTGTTCCCACCACATTCTCACCTCCGGCTCTGATCTTTACATTCATACCAGGCTTGGGAACTTTATTTCTTCCTTCATTGGGCTGAGTGCCTTCCTCATTCTAAAGCTTGTTTTAAGGTTCAGGGTAAACTTGTAACTCACATCTCAGTTTACACTGGAGGCTGACTCTTAGTACCAAAGCCACCTCTTACGTGTTCTGACCATGAGCATCCTTGTGTAGTGTATGTGTAGGCCTCTCACATGGTCTTCCTCCTGGCCTTCCAGGTGTGCCTGGAGGTGAGGAATGTTCAGTGGGAATAGCACTTGGTTCCACCATGGGGCTCCTTGCTACCATAGAATCTATTCTTCTTTTTAATTAAAAAGAGATAGCCAGGTGCCATAATTGAAAAGCAATACTAGGGGCACTAAGAAGGCACATCTCCCACTCAGCCCTTGCTGTAAGCCTGTCCTCAGTTCTGCTTTTGCATTCTGGTTAGCTTCTCCCAAAGCCCTCATTTCTGTCTACACAGCTGTATATAACTCTACTGATCATGTTCTAGTCAGTTGTGTAACATGCCTATCTCTCCTATTGAT